CAGCAAAAGACCTTAGAAGTGTCTTTGTTTCACCTTAAGCACTTCCTTCATTCCAAAGCTTTCTTTCCACAAAGAAATAAACACTCACATCAAATCAAATAAATACAGAAGCTGGAGAGAGGGGAAAAGAGCTAAAAGCACGGGAAAGTAAGGGAAAATATCCTTCCATGATTCTTGCAAGATCTTCCACCTTTTAAGCTTCTATGGAAAACTTTGCAGCATCTGTAACAAAGGGAAACAGGCCTACAGAGCCATTTAACAAGCTTTAAAATGGCTATCATAATAATAATAATGATGAATGATATAATAAATAATAATAATAATAATAATAACACTAGAAATAAAAGATAATAATAATGCTGTTAATATTAACAATAATAACAATAGTAGCAGTAGTAATAATAATAATAATAATAATAATAATAATAATAATAATAATAATAATAATAATAATAATAATAATAATAATAATAATAATAATAATAATAATAATAATAATAATAGCAACAATTGTAATAACAATAATAATGGTAATAATGATATTGATAATAATAATAACTATGATGGTAATAATTATAAAAGAAAAATCAATAACAAGAACAATAATAAAAACAATAAAAAATAACAACAACTGTGATAATTAAAATCATAATAACAATAGCAGTAACAATAATAATAATAATAATAATAATAATAATAATAATAATAAATAAAATAATAATAAAAACAATAATAATAATAATAATAATAAAATAATAATAACAATAAAAATAATAAAAATAAATGAAAATAATACCATAATAATAATAATAATAAAAAAAACAAAATAAAATAAATAAATAAAAAATATAATAATAAAAAATAGTAACAATAATAATAACAACAACAATAATAAAAAGCTTACAAAGCGGGCTGTCTTAACCATTCTCATTAAACAACTCATTTTCTTTTGTCTTCTCTGAATATCATGAGGAATTACATTCTTTCTATTACACAAGCGTGTGCGCACACACACTCACAAGGAGACGCGCACACGCACGCACACACGCACGCACGCACGCACACACACACAGACACACACACATACACTCTCTCTCTCTCATAAAATACCTTTCTTAGTACTGTGACAATTTCTTTCATGAAGGAAATAATCCCCATGGAATACGCATACAAGCTGCTGAGCCACATTTAAAAAAAAAGTTATCATCCAGTAGAAGATTGTAAGCAATAGAGAGAAAAGAGCAAGAGAGTCTGAGAGAGAGACTGTGAGAGAGAGAAAACCTATGAAGGCCTTGCAGAGCGTAAAATCCCCATTCTGACGCCTTACCTTTCCCTTAACTGAACTCAGAGCCAAGCACATGCAAATGACTTTAAACTAGACACACACTGCTGCCCATGAGGGGAGTGAAGCGCAGATAATGGGCAATGATGAATGTGCATGCCAATCCCTTTGTATTCACTTTTGCATAATTGTACCAGCAGAGGAAGGAAATAGAAAAAAGAAAAAGAAAAAGGAAGGTATGTTGCAAAGCGTTATTTAGACACTGGCTGATGTTTCACATCCATTTCACATTTTAAGGATTGTTTGAAATTTGCACATAATGACAACAGAATTCATGTATGTACATATATAAATTAAGCACTTCAGAGGAAAACTGACTAGCCAAGACAAACATCAAGAAAACCCAATAACAGGTTTGGGGAGAGAGGAGAGAGCAAAAGAAGTTACGATTAAGATGGCACAATGGAAGATGAACCATACTGATGATCTTTTATGAAAAAGGGGGACTGAGGGAAGGATGAAGAAAAGAGAGAGAGAGAGAGAGAGAGAGAGAGAGAGAGAGAGAAGAGAGAGAGAGAGAGAGAGAGAGAGAGAGAGAGAGAGAGAGAGAGAGAGAGAGAGAGAGAGAGAGAGAGAAACATTCTTTCACAGTCTCTGAGTATATCTGCTGAAATGCCACCAAAAAGTTGCATGAACTCACCTTTCATATCACATCTACAACTTTGCCCACCCCCCAAAAAACACTTTTCACAATCCATCCCATAATACTGATGCACAAATAAATAAAAGCCATAGCTTTACATATAACAAAGTTAAATGTCTTATGGTCTACTTATTCCTAATAGGGGTGGAGGTATGTGCATGTGTGAGGAATTTCTCAACTGCTCATCGTGCAGCAAAATGGCTGGTCTTAATCTACAGAAGGATTTTGCTACCAGTGAAAAACAATCAGCATTCACACAAACAAGCTCCCGACTACCTAGCATGAAGGGGGAAGGGGATATTTCAAGAACCAATTACAGGGTGAATTTGCTGTAGAACTTTGGAAAGGAAAGCTAAAACATTCACAATTCGCTGCTTTCATATCCCAGCTGAAGATTATGTTTACTAAAGAGCAAGTTCTTTCTTTCCCTTGAAGAAAGCAAGACAAAATGGTGCACCAGAAGTAAACCATATAAAAATCCTTCTCTGGGGAAAACACTGTGAACACAAAAAGTA